GCACGGCTCTGATACCACTTGTTGGCCCACGGGATCACCGTCTGACGATAGTGAACTAGTCTCCAGACCACTAGTCTCAGACCACTAGTCTCCCAGACCACTAGTCTCCCAGACCAGACCACTAGTCTCCCAGACCACTAGTCTTCCTAGACCACTAGTCTCCCAGACCAGACCACACTAGTCTCCTAGACCAGACCACTAGTCTCCAGACCACTAGTCTCCAGACCACTAGTCTCCTAGACCACTATACTGGTTGTGTCCGTACCCACACACTACGGATCGAGCTAGAAAAAGAATGGAGAACAGAGCAAGCACGCACAATACAAGACAACAACGTTGGCCGAGGCCCTATCTATGTGATGGCAAATCTGAGCTCTCTTTACTGAGTTGTCTTGGTGCCCTATTTATACAACTCTATCTATCTAACTAAAGTACAACGCACATGTCTTTATGCTTGATAACTAGATAAGCATCTGGTGCTGACTCTGCGCCGGCCTTTGCATGTGCCTATAGTCTTCAGCAGGTGAGCCATCTGGCAGACTGCAGCTGCTCTTGTATTCATGACGAGGGGCAAAGTTGGCGCCGCCTTCCTCTGCTGTGTTTCACACAAGGTGGCAGTAGATTAGCTAACAGCTAGCACCACCAGCCTCACCGCCGCCGCCATCTGGGCCTCGCCCACGCCGCCGCCCAACAGTCATCGGAGGGCGCCGCTGGATCTGGTCACGATCGGGGCCATCCTTCGTCATCCCACTCGGCAGCAGCAGCATCTCTGCTCGTGAGCCCGGCACCGCATCTCTGCTTGCGAGCGGCCCTGCCATCCCCGTCCGCACGCTCGGCAGCAGCACCACCACCAGCGAGTTGGGAGCAACGCACCCCGATGCGTTTGCCGCCGCCTCACGTCGCGCCCGTCGCCGCCCCGACCGCCCACGGTAGCCCGGATCTAGGGTCTTGCCCTCTTGGACGAGATGTAGAGCCCGCTGGTGGAGGCACACGAGGTGGACCGTTGAGATCAGTCACGGAGAAGGCCGCGACGTACTCCGTCGCCACGGAACCCCATCGACGACCGCCGCCGTCCCGACCGCCAGACACTGCCCTCATCTGCATCTCTTGCACGAGAGCTGCCGCTGCCCGTGGGGGGCTCCCTACGCTCGCTCGTCAGCTGAGGGGATCTCTGACGACCGCGACGCCAGCAGACGATGCACCGAAGGGATCTCCGACGTCCATGCCGCTGCCATCACGAGGGGTACCTGCTGTGGCTGAAGCCGAATCCTGCTGCACAAGCTACAGTTGGGGAACGCGGCCTGCTGCAGGATCCGGCGCCGCCTCCTTGGCGGAGGGTCTCGTGAGGCTCTCCACCGCCCGCTGCGCCTCCAGGTCCTCTGCCGGCTGCCACCTCCAGGAGTTTGCTGCTGGCATGTGAGGAGCCATGTCGTCGCCACCATCGGCCTCTGGGTGTTTGGCGCCCAGTGAGTCCCCCTTTGCACAACTCATCCTCAGGCTGCAATGTGCGGCCGTCGTCACCGTCGTCCAAGTCAAGAAAGGATGGTTCACAGAGTCACCCTTCGCACAGCTCATCGTCGGGCTACAGTGTGCAGCAGTTGCCACCATCGTCCAAGTCAAGTAAGCACCCTAGCCTTGCCTTCAAATCATGGGCTCGTGGAAGATGCTACCGTTGTCTTGCCCGTGATCACAAGGTCAGCTCGTGTCGGGACTCCTTCCGCTGCATTCGATGTCGTTGTCCTAGGCATAAAGAGCGACATTGCCACCTCCAGTCCCCCTCGACTTCACCACGTTTCGGCTCTCCTTCCCACCATAGCCATCTTCAAAATGCTCGGAGATGGGCAGATGTTGTGGCTACATCTCCCCCAAATGGTTGTCGTGATCCGCTGTCGGTTTCGACTAATCGCCATCCTCGATGTGCTGCATGTGGTTGCCATTGTCACGCTGGACATGGTTTGTCCACCTCTGACCTTCAATCTTTGTTTGGGCCTTCGATGGAGTCGCTTCATTCAGATCTTCAGGAGTTCTTCGTATCTCGCCTTGAGGAGGTGGTGCGTCCTTTCAGGGATGAGATATCAACCATCAAGTTGTGGCTTGCACGGATGGCCAACCATCTGGAACGAGGAGGGCCACCTAGCGAGGATCATTTCATTGCAGATTTGGTGGGTCTTTTTGGTCCTTGTTCCCTGGTTCGGTAGTCTTCAAATCCATTATTTTCCACAACAAACCCTGTCGTCGATGAGTTGGAGTTTCACACAGTGTTGAACCCTGACAGTAAGGAGGTGGCCACAAGGACAATTGACGCAGAGATTCGCCAAAAGATGCCCTTGGAGCAAGCCACCGAGGGGCCTTCAGTGATGTCATCGATCCTTGCTTCTCCTATGGAGGTTTGCACGCCTGCTGACTCCTTAGTGTGTGAGGACACATGTGTGATCAGTGCAGCTTCCATCAATGGTGAGATGACCATAGAGAAGGTTGTTGCTATGCCCTCGACGGCCTCGTTGCTACAGACCATCACCCTTGTTGAGGATTTTGTTCTGGTGGAGGATGCATCCGATGATGAGGAAGCTATCTCAAAAGTGACAGTTGAGGACCCCGTCTTTCTCGTCACTATTGAAAACAACCCTACGCATTCTATGACGGACGTCAAGGAAGAAGTCTTCACCATCAAAGACAACCCATTGCATTCTACGACTGAGATCAATGAAGAAGTGCCTAGATCGATAGAGGATCCATCAATTAATGCAAAATCTTCTTCAATGGCCACAGCTATGGAGGAGAACGAATTGACATGTCCCCCTATACACCCAACTTCACCATCGGCTACACCTGCAAGACGCCGACGCAAGTCCTATGATAGAGCTTCGCTTCGTCGAAGTGGCTGCATTGCACAACGCAATGTGTTAAAGGATTTGGGTGTTGTTGGGAAGGATGGGAAGTTCAATGAGGGTGCAATGCAATACATTGTAGTTTGCCTGAAGGAATTGTTACCACCAGACCTCCTCAAGCCACTAATGAGTTTAAAGGGTCGTGCCTTTTGGGACTTTGTGGCGGAGGCCTCTCTTTCTCTTCGTTAGGGGTCATGAATGATGACGCAAGTGCGATTTTCGTGTTCTAACGACGACTATTGTCCATGTGATGGGTGTCACTTGGCTGGCTATTGCGGAGGAGTTTGTGGAGGTTTGAATCTTTGGTGTCCAACAATGTTTGTTTTAGTTGTTTCAGTCGCTTTAGTTTATGTTGTTAGGCTTACCTTAAATCCGGCTTGTTCGCCTTCTTTTTCAGCCGGAACAGTATTTTTCTCTCACAACATTTCAGCCGGAACAGTGTTTTTCAGCCAATTTCAGCCAAGTTTCAGCAAGCTGAACGAGGCCGTTGTCGTTTTTTGTTGTGTTGTTGTACTACCTAGTCTGGGTTTTCTTCTTTTTAATATAATCGACAATTTTGCCTGATTCGTTTAAAAATAATCGTAATTATTATTATTTTGAACAGCCTACTAGTAGTAGTAATAGAACTATCTCCTCTTTACTAGGCTTTTTTGTTCTTTGCTTGAATATATATATATATATATATATATATATATATATATATATATATATATATATATATATATCTGATTTCACCTTTTAATCTAAATTTTAACAGGCTGGAGACTAGATTACTTTCTTGCCTCAGAATCTATTGCCGACAAGGTTCATGATTCCTACACTCTGCCAGATGTATCGCTCAGCGATCACAGTCCAATTGGCCTTGTGCTGAAGTTGTAGGCTCCGATGCATCTCTCAGCTACTTGACAACTGAAGCATGAAGTTTAAGCATCGTCCTAAATAAAAGGACTTGTAGAAAGATTTTGCTTATGTAGGCTGAAAACTATTCAAACTCAGGTGGTGGTACTTCGCGTGGTCTCCTATGGTCTGTGGAGGTAGTGGATCGCCTATTCACGTTGTGTTCGTGAAGTTAAAAGATAGCCTAGAGCAATTAGCTGATGTTCTTATACGTCGTGAATACATCCCACCGAATAACCCATCGTTTTACATTCACAATTTGACATCTTGAATTTAGAGTGTTTTGCGAAGGAACTATCTTTGTTCTACTATATTTGTTCTCCTATGCATATATGTCTACTTGCATTTACCAGTATATATGACCACCACACAAAGGGTCAGCTTAGTCCACATAACTGATAACTCCGCATTTTGCTCCACATGGCGTTGCTCTTAGTCCACATTTTTTTAGATAATGGATTCATTAATATGGCCTCTATAACCACGAAGGGTATACATAGCTAAAAGGATACAAGAGCACTTAGCTCACACTTCAATAAAGAAGAGAACACACGACCAAAAAAGGAAAAAACTATGACATCGACATATCCCTGCTGCCCGACATCCTCTGCTGCATTATGCTCCACATGGAGTTGCTATTAAAATTATTGTGTAACAGTTGGGCACACAGATTACACCGCTTTCCTGTCATGTTTGTGCAGTTTCACAAGGGTTTTGCCCGTGTTCATATTTAACTCTTTTTTTTGCGAAGGGCGGGCCTGGTGCAAGCGGTAGAGTCTTACTGCCTGTGACCGGAAGGTCCCGGGTTCGAGTCGCGGTCTCCTCGCATTGCACAGCCAAGGGTAAGGCTTGCCACTAACATCCTGTCCCAGACCCCGCACAGAGCAGGAGCTCTCTGCACTTGGTACGCTCTTATATTTAATGTTTTTTTGCCTGCTATATAAGATAATAACATCGTAAAGACAAACGAGTGCATAGCTTTGGCATTGCAAACAAATCGTATCTTAGTTCCATGCACTGAACGTTTAACCCAAAACTTTAAGCTAGTAGTAAAAATTGGCATAATTCGCCGTGCCATAACAACGCACAATTTTTTACCGACAGCCTGTTTGTATAATGAAGTCATTATTATTAACATGTGATAACCCCTCAATTTTTGAAGCCAGATAAGTAAATCTTGAAATCAACACAAATGGAAAACTGTTGAATTAGTCATCAACTCTGCCTTTCAAGAGATAGAGCAAGGAAAACCCTAGGATTCTTGGTAAGTTCATTTTGTAAGAGAGCTTGACTGTTGAACTTCTCTGCTGTGTTGACAAATTCATCCATAAGATCTCCCGACGAGCCAAAATGGTCCAGTATTATTGGCTCAATGCCAGCCCTAAGCGCATATGCCATCATCTTGGGGCTGATCACTGCTTTGTTCACACCAGCTATACTGTCATGAACTTGAATTTCATTAATGGAGAAAGATCCCTGCTTTTCTATTATCTCCTTTACTTCTTTCTCAGACGGCGAATATAATGGTATGTAGAAAGCCTTCAATTTTTGCTTATCAAGCACACCCTGCAGCAAGAAACTCAGGAATAATGAAACATTGAATTGAATTTTCCTGTAGCGAGGTCCAAACATCCTTTAGGATATATAAACCAGCAAATTCATACCCTTGATGCCATGTCGTCTAAGATACGGGCTATGAACTCCCATATTTGTTGAGCTGATCCATCGCTGGCTGAAGCCGGAGATTGTGTTCCAGTCAAGGAAACAATCAACCTTCCTCCAGGAACCATCTCCTGCGCCCTGCACTCCAAGAACAAAAGGAGGTCCTTTCTAAATTGCCGGGCATAAGCATCAAGCACAACGGGCCGTGTTTTCCTCCATAGTTGCTCGTCGCTATGGTACATCTGAATGCCATTCTTCAGTAGGTCTTCAGGTACCTACCAGTTACCGCATCTTAAACATTAAGCTTAAATAAAAGTAGTTGATACTACCGTAACGGAACAGAGAATATGTGTGATTAAGTTTGTAGGAACAAAAATGTGGATACTACCTTTGAAAGCCAGTGCAAGCTATTTGATGAGAGGACAAGATGCACCGATCCAGTAGTGAACAGTCTTCCATAGAAGGACCCAGGCACAATACTAGTCATGACAAATGGTGAGAAACCGTGCTCACCCTTGTCAATGTTTTTCCTTTCTTGGAAGTGTTGAAATCATTGCTGGGAAGATCGTTGAGGAGCAGGCTCAGCTCAGGCGGTGGCTGTTGGAGTTCAAGACACTGGCGATGAATGGCATCGACAGCAGCAGAGACCAAGGTGAGTGCGCTGGGGCCACGAGAGCAGCCAAGGTCCGCGATCACCATGCTTCTGGGAAGGGGTGTGGAGTTGCCACACAGTTTCATGATGGCCTCTTCTATCTGTGGCTTCAATCTCATCTGCTCTGCACTCTGTGTGCACACGAGTTGTTACCTTGGTCAAGTTTTTCTGTTCCATCTTTTGCTTATCAAAATCAGCAAGTTAATGGCTTGTTCTGTCTAAATCAGTTTACGAACAGGTCGAAGTTAAACTGTTTGTTATCAACCAGGGAATTCGAAATAACACTGATTTTGAAAAGGGAGAACCTAGATGAGCTAATTAACCTCTAACCTTAAGAAATCGATCAAGTTGAAGAATATCTTACCCAGTTCTACTTACTGATGCCATATTAATTGACCTCTAACCTTAAAAAACTCGGGCTGCGGGGGTAGACACCTCGAGCTATTTAGCTTAAGGTAGAAGACTTCTCACTCAGCCCGAGAAAATCTCCGAACCCCATGCCCCACCCGCACATAGAGGGCCCGCTAACCGGTGAGAGAGCCAATCCATTTTACATGATTTTGTATTAACCTCTAACCTTAAGATTTGGTATTAACAAACAAGTTCAGTCGACTAAGACGCACACCTAGAGCAATACCAGTTGGCAACAAGCGTTCATGTTGGATCCCAACAAGAGTAGTAGTAGTAGCTCTTGGAGTCGTGCTTGGTCGCTGACCGGCGGGTCTAGTTATTTTCATGTTTTTCTTCAGTTTCAGTGTGGGGGGCTAGTCTGTAGTTTGTTGCCCAGGTGGGCGTTTAGTTGGGAAGTCGGCCGGGGTACAGTGGTGACGGTGAGATTGTTCCCCCGTTGTTGTTTGTAATCTTTTTTTCTTGTTTTTTTTCCTCGTCTAATAAAAATCCGGCAAAACTCTTGCCGCCTTTCTAAAAAGTCTCGCAGCTGCCAAGAACTTTGTGCTGAAGAACCAATGTGTCGGAGTCTAGTTTATACGCACTCTTGCCAACTACTACTCTACTATATGTATTAGTTAGTGATGCCATATTAGTTTATCTGACCCTGTGGATGAATTTAATTTCATTATCACAATTGTAGTGGACCGAAGCTGCAGATTCATGCATTGAGTTAACAACCTGCAGAGCATTCAACTAGAGAACCTGGACCACGTCCCTCTAAGAGCCATTAGTCAACGGCCGGCTGCAAGCAATTATATAGAGCTAATCAAGTTGCAAGGGCAACACGTTATTAGCAATCAAATAACACGGTTAACAACAAAGCCTGTCGTACATACAAACCAGTGCTAATTAACCATCCTCTGTATGTTAATCATAGATGTGAGCCAAGCTAGCATCTGTTTTTAATTTGGCACCTGAAGGATAGCAATTCCATAGATTGTCACGAATTCCAAATAACAAATTTGTTAGTTACAAAGTTGTAAATCTCATCAATCTCTACAAACATGACATAAAACATGTCTTCGTCCAACTTGTGTGTAGCAATTATTCACAGAGACACCATTACACGTGCCTCTCGAAACAATGCTCTCCCGATACCTTGCAAACGACTAATTCAACTCAAACCGATCGGTGTTCGAGAAAAAAAACTCAAACCGATAGGAAAACGTTGGTAGTTGGCATTATAAGCAAGCATAGCATGTGCCAAACCAAGGGACACAGCATCTTATATACTTAAATACGACTAGCAGCTTCTCAATTGAACTACACAATCTGCAGGCGTTGAACATGGCCGTTTCTTCAGAACACAGAGCCACAGGAAATTGGTACAAAGAGAAAATCACAATACCATGTAGAGGATATAAGCTTCTACTCGTGCCATTCGACACCAACATACAAATCAGTCAAAACATTTGTTCTTGTAACCACAGAAGATGTAAATTAAAGTAGCACCATCCTTATTCTCACTGCTGCAACACTGAAGCTGCAAAGTAGCCAATAAACCAAAACTAAGCGTAGTGGGCGGTCATCTGCAAACTACAGATATCGAGACAGATATATACACAAACAACGGCCGCTAATGGCTAAACAAAACAATCATTAGGCTGATAATTAGTACTATCTACAGCAGCTTAAGGGGACTAGGGGTAGGGGGAACATAACCTACAGATGATCTACTAACTCTACTCTACCTCATCTGAAGATGTCCACCATTACTATTGTTGGGGTAAAACTGCTGAGACCTCCAAAGCGTAGTGGGCGGCAGAGAGGGGCACTTGTCGTCTTCTCTCAATGCCGTAAGCCCCTTAGATTCTTACTCACATAGCCCCCTAGCTTCTTACTCACATAGCTAGTGAATGCTTGGTATAATCAGCTTGCTCATAGGAGTAATAATGCATATCATTCCTTACTCGGCAGTTCCTCCAACCATTGTTTGCACCATTGTGTTCATCCGTTTGGTACTTTGATTTCATTGGCTTTGAGCTGATGGGGCCGCCTCTATTCCTGGTGTTTCTTCTACCCAAGTCATTGTTTCGCCTTCTCCAGTGAGTCCAGTGTCCATATGACACACCCTGGCTGTCAGGCACCTCATAGCTACCTTGATGGTTGTCCCATGGATCAGTCTGAATAGCTGCAGGAGCCCAGCTGTAATCATGCTTCCAAGCATCCTGGGAGCCATCCCTCATGATCCAGTTGGTAATGCAAGGATTCGTCTGCTCCCCCCAGCTGCTGGTTTGATCCTGCTGTTCCTCATACACTTCCCAGTTCCCTGAGTTTTGCTGATCAATTGTTTGAGCAGGTTGCTTGACAGAATAATCCCAATTTGCCGACATCTGCTTATTTGCTTCAACTGTGTGTTTTAACTGATTGTCCCAGTTTGCAGAGAGCTGCTGGCCATGAGTGAAGCTGGTCTCCGTGTCACCCCATCCTGTAACTGGAACTGGCTTGTCAGAGAAAATAAAAGAGTCCCAGACATCAGGAACACCATTATCTTTTCTGGGAACACGACGACGTGATTTCTCCAGATCAGCCACCAATTCAGGATCAACATATTCATCTGGGTTGACTATATCGATAAACATGTTTGGGTCAGGCAAAGGGATATCATAATGTTGACCATGATATACAGCACAGAAGCGCGCCTTTGCATCATTGAAGGCTTCTAATGCAGCTGAGTCATCCCAATCAACCACACTTTTGTACAGAGACATCAATCTCTTGGTCTCACACAGTTTAGCCCAGGGGATAGCACAAGCATCAGTGCAAAATTTCTTTTCCCACAACGGAACTGAAAATTTTCCACTGCCTGAAATAACACATAAACTGTATTTAGTGAGTAAATAAAACTAATCTATGCGGAGAAAAAGAACCTGTGTTTGCTCCTAGACTTATATCACCACAATACTGGTGGTTTTCTCTGTATGAATACCAATAAGAATTCAGAGGAAACACTACAACAAGAAGACTGATAAGAAGAAACACTACAATAGGAATGGGGCAACAGCAGATAACAGAACAAAATAAGTAGCTGTCAGAGAAAGGGCTAGCAGTAATTAGTCTGCGTAATAGGAAAAATCAAGGGATACTTCGTTTAAATGCTAGCAAAATATTGAAAAACACAAATTTACGATGAAAAAAACACACACAACAATTATGTAGTTCTTATTTGTAAAGCATCAAGTAGGGATTATGGGTTATATGGAAAACTGAGTACAGGTTCAGCTTAGTCAGTCATAGATATCAAAGTAAGCTAAGAAACTTTTACCAATTAATTTGGCTCAGAAGTGTAACTTCCATGAATTTAAGCATGAATAATAACTAACATGGTCCGATATCTCCATAGATGTGTACAAAAATCATAACACATCAAACTTAGCACCTTTCCTGAATTTCAATGTCAGGCAAGAAAAATATTGTTTAATATTTAAAAGTATTTCCTAAAGCTTTGGCAGGGGGTGTAGGTGTACAGATGACCGTTCACCATTGTCCGGTTTAAATACTCACCAAGCCCTTTCAATGCCATTCACCAAATGGTCTCCAAAATCGCTAGTAAAGTGTGCTATTATGTCATAAGCATTCTTGCTAAAATGGAATAGGTTGTCCTTTACATACAGAACATGTAATGATCAAGCGCATAAACTGATCAAGATTACTACCATGGAATTAGGAAAATATTTCATTCCCACGCGAAAAAACATACAGGTTAGTTTTTTCTGGATTGAAGGCGGTGCAGGTGGCACACGTAAATGGAATGACTAGGTTCTTTCGAGTTTCGATGTGAGTTCCCTGAAGACGGTTGGTACCCTCGCATGTCATTTTCAAGAGAGAGAGAGGGTAGCAAGCCGCAGGTGCCACCCACACGAACGCATCACCAGAAACGGCATCAAATACTGACACCGTCACACGAGAGCGAATTGTACGCGGACTGTCGCTGCTCGCCAGCATTGGCATTTCGGCAGGGACACTCGGACCAGAAGGAAGAGGAGGATTTCGGATTCGCTACCCAACCCCGGACACAATTTACATGTGAACCGTGAAAATCCAGAAGAAAACACTCGACAAAATCAGGAGCCGAGGAAGGGCGCAACCAATCTAACCCAGTCCAAACCAGAACGCATGCTAAGACTGTAAACAGGACGGGCAGCGATCGAGGAACGTACCCTGAGAGCGCGGCGGCCGCCGGGGCTTGCCGGGCTCCCTGTAGATCAGCCGCCTCTCCGTCATGGACGGCCGCTGCAGACCTCTCCTCTCCTCCCTCAGCCCAACCCTCGACGGAACACGCGAGAAGGCGCCCGGACCCTCCCCTCCAGCCTCCAACCCCAGCGCACGCGGACGCGACCCGCGGAGCAACCCGAAAGGCGCAGGCTGCCGCCCACCGGATACGGCGCGCCCGGTTAAGTCGGCGTGGAGTGGGCACGCGAACGAGTCAGGCGAGCGGCGAAAGGCCCGTGGGACGGGAGGGAGGGGAGGAGGCGGTTTGCCGGTTTGGGTGGCGTCGTTGGTTTCGCTCGCGGCCGCGCCGCCGCCGAGGGGCGGGGGGAGATTATTAAAAGAGCAGGAAAAGCTGGGATTTTTATTGTGCGTCCGCACGTTTTTGCCGGAACAGGCGGCGCGTGTACCGCCGCCGATAGCTCTGGCGCTGGGATTTTCTCCATGTGCTGCTACCGTCCGCCTCCGTTTGACGGTTCTGTTTTGACATCTTCTTTAGATCATGTTTCAACCATTAACCGCTAATAGTTAGCTCATACTGCTTCCAATCCCAATTATAAAATAATTTTGGCTTTACCTACATTGTTTTTCTCTGTATTTAGACACAATTGTAAATAAATGTATAGCAAAAAATACGTACTAAAAAATCAAAATGTTATAATTTAGAATGAAACGAGTAGCTAATATTAGGCATCATTTGGCATGGTTCTATTTCACTGGTGAAGCCATTTTTTTAGTTTCAACTTCACAAACAGCTTTATTGGTGGAGTTAAAGTTGTTTTGCTGAACCGTTTGGCAAAAGAAATAGATGTTATGTGGCCCACGCACGTAAGTGTTTGTCGGTATCAAAGCAGGCAGAGGTGCCACATATGTACAATTGCTATGTAGGTGACCAATAGATACTCCCTCCGTCCAAAAAAAAAAAGTGTACAATTCTAGCACAATATCATGTTTTATTATCTTAATTTGACTAGTTATGAATAAAAATATATAAATATTTATGATATCAATAAATATCATTAGATTAATAATAAAATGTATTTTCATAATAAATTAATTTAGAGCCATAAAATGAATATCAGTTACTAGAAATTTAATGAAACGGGAACCATTTTAACTGACATGCAACTTGACGGAGGGAGTAATAAACAACATGGGTCCATGTGTTTTGTACAACTAAAGGCAGTCCCAATGGAAGAAACTAATGCGGTTTCTATAGCACAAGAAATCATCTATAGAAACTACCTTCCATAGTGGAGGTGTCTTTGTGTAATAATTATTTTCTCTTTCTCTCTCCCAACTCTATCTTCTTCCTCCAATGGGAGTGTGGCACGAGCCTCCTGAAACTGGTGGTTTCTCCCCAATAGCGATTTCATGGTTTCTTGGTGCATTTGGTCAAGAGAAGACCTGATTTCTTCATAAGGAAACCATTTCTAGGATTTTACTCTCTTTCTTCATTAATTACATTGCAATGTCAACATTTTACCTACGTGGCAAGTCATTTAATGAGGATAGAAACCATCATCCATCATCAATACCCTAATATTTCTACCGGATAACATTGGAGGTCCAGCTATGTGACGAGGTTTGGCCGTTGCCATACCTAAAATGTGTAGATAATTCCAAATTCCAAAATATGTATAGTATATATACATGATATACGTTAAAGATACATGCTGGCGGCTAGCTGTTGCCTGTTTTGGGTCTGGATGTCCGACAGCTAGGCTGGTGGGCTTCATGGTCCACGTAGCAATTAGCAAACGACGGAGGGAAGCTAATCTGTCCGGTAGTCTTCAGCATGATATACGTCTCGCAGTTCTTTCCTTCCTGCTCAATTGACTGCGTCTGTTCGTATCAGTCTATCTTTTCATATTGATTAATTTACCTAGGGCTGTATATTGATATGCGTCACAAATGGATGTAGGTTGAATAATGAATACTTCAATAGTTCAATGCTTTACTTTTAGATTTCTATTAGCCCCGTTTAGATCCTCGATTGAAATTGACAGAACAGTCATATTGGTCCCTCAACTATTACTCGAGGCTCAGTTTCGTTCCTAAACTTTTAAAATGACCGTTTTAGTCCTCAAACTCTACTTTTAGGCTTAATTTCATCCTAAAACTATTAAGATGATTGTTTTAGTCCTCAAACTTTGTATTTTGGGCTCAATTTCATTTATAAATTATCAAAGTGTATTTTGTCAAGTAAACTTTTATTTTCAACTCAACTTTATCTACGTTGTACGTGGAACGCTGCACTGTTGCACATGGTTAGCTCCAACACCACCAGTAATAGTTAATGGACCAAAATGACTATTGTGCCATTGAAATTTATATTTGATAATCATAATTTAGACACATATTAATTAAGTTGTCTTTGGAATATATTTTTATACTACATTGTAGGGGAGCGAGCTGAAGAACGTGCTATAAGTTACAGAGTAGAAATATAACATGGTGATCTATAGAATCAACTTGTATCCCCCTCTACGAATTTGAGATAGTCTTTGTATGTGAACTTTGAAAAAGTTGTGGAATATCAAATTCCTAATCAAATAGCCTGATCCATCAAGTAGATTTTAATTCCTCCTAAATGAAAGGATCCAAATGACTCCTTATATTTATTGATCACAAATAATATATATTTATACAAATATTTTCTCCTTAGAATTTCATCTTAATGTAAACCCGCCACACTTGAAAAATATTTCTGCCTCCGCCGCTGTCTGCATCATGTGCTCTCTGCTTCTACCGGTAGTACTTCCTCCGTCTAAATTGCTATGAGATTTGTTTCGATCAAATTTTTTAAAACTTAACTAAGATTTGCAATAACAACATTAGTATCTCAAATAATTTTATTATAAAAATATATTCAACGATTTATCCAATGATATTAATTATACAGCACAAATATTAATATTTTCTTATATATGTAATTGGTTAAAGTTGGAAATAAACCCTCAAAATTTTAAGTTTTTTCACTCTTTCTCGATCACATCATTTTTTAGCCGTCTGTATGGAGCATTAAATGTAGGTAAAAAAAATAACTAATTGCACAGTTTAATGCAGGGACTTTTTCTTTGTCCACGCAATAGTCGAAGAGAATTAATGCAGGACAGTGTGATGAACTAACCTCTTTTATTAAAAGAAATAAAACAAGACGCAGTCCCCTGAAAGTCAAAAATCTTGAGAGGAGGAAAGGCAGAAGCCATGGTACAGTAGGAGTACTCGCGTGCGCGCCACCCGATAAAGCAGGCGATGTCTGACTGGGGCCTTGTTTAGATACACTTAAAATTCCAAGTTTTTTCGCTCTCTCTATCACATTATTTTTTAGCTGTTTGTATGGAGCATTAAATGTAGGTAAAAAAAATAACTAATTGCACAGTTTAGTTGGAAATCACGAGATGAATCTTTTGAGCTTAGTTGGTCTACGATTAGACAATATTTACCAAATAAAACGAAAGTGCTACTATTCATCGGTTTGAAATTTTTTTCCGATCTAAACAAGGCCTGGGCGACAGCGATGGTACTTGCCCTGCTCTGCTCTGCTGTAGTACTATAGTACATGCCTCGAAGAGAGGGGAGCGGCAGCGTGCCCGTTTGGCATTCGTTCGCGGAAAAAGTATCCGGCGGACAGACGTAGAGAGGCAGAGAGCCTGCGCTTCCTAGGCTAGTCCCAGCATTTGGTTCCTTCTCAGCTGTTGGCCTCCCATTCGTTGCCGATCCTCTCGCCGTAGACCGAAAACGGCCTGTCCATGGCGCTGGAATTGTACGCGCCCGTTAATTCGCCGTGGACGTCAGTTGGCAGCGTTCAGTGCGACTGTACAAGACGAAGAACTGGTAAAAGCAAGGCAAAACCCTGTGTGGCTTTATTTATTGAAGGATTGATGGATCGACGAAGCTTGAGAGACTAGTACAGCCGTGCAAAGCCTATGCTCGCTCAATCGTGCAACTGCGGCTCTAGGGGTGTAGGAAGTTCGGTGGCGTTTGATCCGGCGATTAAAATTTAGGAGACGTGTCGGGAAGATGTTGTATGGGGTGTTCGAATAATAAATTACATAATCCGTCAGTACTCAACGAGACAAAATTTTTAAGCCTAATTAATCCATCATTAGCGCGTGTTAACTGTAGCACCACATTGTCAAATCATGAACTAATTAGGCTTAAAAGATTCGTCTCGTAAATTAGTCGCAAACTATATAATTAGTCTATATTTAATACTCGATGCATGTATCCAAACATTCAATTAGACAACGACTAAAATTTAGAAAGAACAACCAAACACCGTCTTACTATCACTACGATGGATGAATAGTCCTTTCTCAAAAAGGAGCAGTAGTCCTACTAGGATAGCAGGGTTTTTCTCTTTTTGATTTGGAAGGGCGTAGTAGACCTGGACAGACGTGACTACGCTGGCACGAGTTTGCCCACACGGCTACAGGGGTTGTGTGTGTGGGTGGGTGGGCGTGCGTTTTGAGAGCGGCTGCACACACTTCACCAAATGTGTGAGGCCGTGGCCCATATTTACGCCCAACTCGTGGGATAACGAGGCCAGTAAATGTAGGGCCCAGTTACAAGGGTAAGAGGCCCAGTTACACGGGTAAGAGCGAAATGGTGTCGCCCGTGTATCATAGACAGCACAAATACACACGTTGATCTGTTTCAGCATTTCAGGTGCGAAGTCGTCAACTGTCGGCTGTCACGGAATTTCTGTAACGGGCACTATATATATGCAGTTATACAAACAAACAAAATCCAGAAAATTTCTCCAATCAGCGCATAAAAAACTATCGTAACAATATATGCAGTATCCAGTGGCGGATCTAGAATTTTATCGTAGGGTATGCCGTACAAAAAAAAAAATTATACAATTCGATAATACCATTTACGAAATCTATAAACAATTGCAAATCCGCAAAATAATTATACATACATCTACTAAACAATATGACAAGTCTTAAATTCAAAGATTAAATCAGAATTCAGAAACTATTTCACAAATTGTGATGACATAA